CTTGATACCCTTTGGTTCTACTTTGGCAGCCAATTCTGTCAGATATGGTGCTACAGCACTCTCTGACATGGGAGTCGAAATCATAACTCGACAGATACCCTTGCCTTCAGGATCTGTCAACCGAGGAAGTAAAAATGGTTTCAATCCCTCCAACAATCTTTCGAAAAGTCTTGGGATACCAGGTAAGATGTGAATATTGCCATTGATGCAAGCAACTGGAACCCAAAGATCTTCACATGGGAATAGAACTTGCTTTGTCAAATCCCGAGATTTATCTAATGGCAATTCCACCATGCGAAGTTTAGCTTTCTTCGCGGGAGAGTCTTCATCCCAATTGAAGTTTGGTTGAGATGGATGAGGTTTGGATAATCTCTTCATCTTTTCATAAGTTTCTTGATGAAGCTTCAGTTCGAGTCCAAATGCTCTTCCAATGGATTGATAAGTAATATCATCGTGTCTACATTTTGTTAGTTGGGGTATATGTATATTTCGATATGGGTTCAAAACGCACGTTGGACCAATTCCTCCAGATGTGACTATAAAATCATAGTTGTTTGACATACGTCTAACAGCTTCAATGATTTCATCTTCATCATCTGCAATAACCTCGATACGCTTTAGATTCTATTCAAGAGTCAAAATCTCCTCCTTCAGTATGCATTCTTTGGATAGGTATCCTACTATTCCATGCTTGAAACAAAACTTTGCAAAATAAGCCGAATTTGTCTGCCAATCCTATCAATATCTAAATTTTCTTCCATATTTATATTTCAAACGTACATCGACCGTCTGTATAGGAGCACATATATATTAGCCATTATGCCCTGGAAATCCCCAATAGGATACACTCCCAATCATCACTAACCTTTCCCCCGAGTACTTCATCTCCAATAATCAAACATGCTGCCGTGTGAATGGTTCTCGAGTTACGTTCGTCGGCAGATACTGATGATGTCATGACTTTATTTGAAAATGTATATCCAGCGGCAGAATTGTGAGCGTAATTTGGTAAGGGACGAGAAAGATGTCTTGCTAATTGAGAGAAGCGGGAGAACATGGATGATAGAAATATATGTAGTGAGAAGAGGAGAGGGGGAGAAGAAGAAGAGAGATCTTTGTAACAATCAATGGGGTTATGTATTGAAGTGGGGTTGACTGTGAGTGAGGCTTTAGTGATTGAGTGGAATGGAGCTTTAGAGGGGTGTTTTGAACTTTGGAGGTTACGCCAGGGTTGAATTTATTTGGCGGGGTTACCCGCGTGGATTACGAGTACGACGAGTATGGTACTACCGGTGCTACCGGTGATGCGATACTTTGGAGGGGATACGAATAGATCAATGGCATGTTGAAAAGATTCCGATGTCATATCATATGTCAGCTATCAGTTATTTGGGTAGGTTAGAAGGATTATAAATATAGGAAAGGGACCCAGAAATATCATAGAGTTAAATCTTCTTTCATGAAGCTCTTTCATCTCCTCTTCAATTATCACTTATATATCTTTCTTATCGTGGATGAGAATGCTGATAAATCAGAATGGCAAGACATTCCTGTGAGTATTATGATATTATGATATTAACTTCAATATTCATTGTCTGTAATGACTATGATGACTGAATCCAGATATCTAATCTAGTCAACGGAATTCAAATGGTTCTTTGAGAGATCTTGATGATAGTCTGGTTGGGATTGGGTCAATATGTACTCTATTCTCTATTCTCTATCCTCTATCCTCTCTCAAGCCTCTATCCTCCATTCTTCATGCTCTATCCTCTATCCTCTAGACACACTTTTTTTCCATCTCCCAAAATTCCCTTCACCTACTCTGTACACAGACACCTTCACATTCAAGACGAAAGATTATGCTCAAACACATCCAATCTCCGTCGGATGCTCGGATTCTTCCACAATTTTCCGCCTTTATCGTTAAAAGATGACAACATCAGCCTTGGTGAACGGACGAATAACGGAAGATAGTATGGAAAATCCATGAAATATTCAAATTTTCTCTGTTTTCGACCTTTTTATTCGCATCAGATTATATATCGGAACGGCTTTATTATATCCAAGACAATCTCTTCACTCTAACTCGGAGTTTAGACATTGAATTGGATTAGTCATAGGCAAAAAAAGTTTGTTTTCTTACCAACAAGTGAACATCAATTATCGATTACCCATATCACATATTGGTATGACGAGACGTCCGACGGACCCGCTCAAAAAGCCGAATCCTATACATTGAGCTGTTACTCGTAAACAAAATATAATACTTTTTCTTTTGCTCAAGTCTTTACTGCTTACTATTTCTAACTTTGATTCCTCTACTCTTCTTCGAATTTTTGGGGAAACTTTCTTGAATATCTCATCAATTATGTCTTCAGGACCGGCTCATAGAGTTCAGTCAGCAGTGGTCGAGTATGGATTTCCTCAAGGGCATCTCGGTCATCTTACAACAGAGGAAGAGGCGGCTTTGAATAACTTCAAGGTTGTTTGCGCAGAGAAGGGTTTGTACAAGCCTGGAAATGGAAGTGATGAACCTGCATCGCACGAAGATGCTACTCTTCTGTATGTATCCGTTCAAGATTCTTTCTTAAGCGCCTACTGATGATTATCTTAGGCGATTTCTCCGAGCGCGCCGGTTTATTGTGCTGGATGCCCTTAAACAATTTTCAGAGACAGAAGAATGGCGAAAGGAGAATGAATTAGATCAATTGTATGAGACTATCGATTTGGAACATTACGAAGAGACTCGCAGACTTGTAAAGTCCCCCATTCTCTACATTCATTGACACCCCTCCTAATTATCTCGATATAGTACCCACAATGGACAGGACGACGCGATCGACGTGGTATCCCTGTATACGTATTCGAAGTATCATATTTGACTGGTAAACGAATGTCTGCATATGAGAAATCCGCCGTCGATACACATACGAAAACCAAACAAGATGGCAAAACCTCTGGAAAGTTATTGCGCTTATTCGCCTTATACGAAAACCTTACACGATTTGTTATGCCATTATGTACAGTTCTTACCGATCGAGATCATCCTCGAACACCCATCACACAAAGTAATAATATTGTTGATATTTCTGGAGTTGGATTGAAACAATTTTGGAATTTGAGAGGGCATATGCAAGATGCAAGTACTTTGGCTACAGCTCATTATCCAGAAAACTCTTGACCGCATTTTGTAAGTTGTATATGGGTTGGAATATTGGAAACTCACTAACGTGTATTGTCAGATTATTGGTGCACCAAGTTTCTTTCCAACAGTTTGGGGTTGGATTAAAAAATGGTTTGATCCAATTACCACATCCAAAATCTTCATTATCAGTCACAACGATGTCAAGTCAACTTTAGAAGCCTTTATCGAGCCTAGAAATATTCCCAAGAAATATGGCGGTGAATTAGAATTCGAATTTGGAGATATGCCTACGTTGGATCCGGCATTAGAAGCAGTTACCACTTGGAATGGAGCTGGCTCATTTCCAGGAGGGCCCATGTATTGGGTCAATACCAAAGATCAAGAATCGATTCAAGCGATCGCAGTTGGAAGTAATGAAAAGAAGGAGAGAAGAGAAGAAGTTTGCACTATTAAGAAGACTATCAAGGATAGTGATAATATGGGAACAATCGCTACAGATGCAACCACCGAAACTCCATTACCCGTTCAATCAGAAACAATCGAAGTACCCGGCGCAACCCCCGCAGTCATAAATACTACCGCCGGGACCAATTCTCCTTTGAATCAAGGAATTCCAATAGATGATCTCGCGATTGAAAATGGTGAAGTAGTCTCTAATTCAAGACCTGAATTAGAAACCTTTCACACAGCTCAAGATGGATCAAACAATTTATCCATTACCAGTCCCCCAGCAGACGAGGTCCTCGTAAATGGAACAACAGAATCTCCTCACACCACAACAACGGCAAATCAATTAGATCCAAATCTTAACCATGATGGAGCTGGCGCCGAACCCGTAGTAGCAGCGGGAGAATTATCAAAAGCGACAACTCAACAGGAAAGTATTCATGATGAGGTACCAGCCTTACCTATGTCTCCTGTAGCGGGTTCCGTGGCTGGTGGTTCTGAAACTTCGAGTACGCCGGGTGCGAGTGATAAGAAGGATAAGAGAAAGAGTCTTTTGGGGGGTTTGAAGGGGAAATTAACAGGTCATCATTGAGGTGATATTTGAGCAGTGAGGGTTTGGAGTGAGGGGGTGGCGAGGGAAAAGGGGGGTTGTTTGCATGATGGGATTTGAGAGTGTAGAATTTATGAGATGGAATAGGATGGATGGGATGAGATGGGATGGATGGAGATGATGAGACCAGATGAGATGAGATGAGACGAGATACACACGGAAAGTAGATACCTAATACCTAATACTTACACGTACGTCCGTGGTTTGGAGTTGGGAGATATATTATTGTTATTGTTACTCACGTTGGTGGATGATGGGTTGGCACGTGTGGTGAAGAAGTACAAGAAAGAATAAAGTACCAGCGCGTTTTATTTGGGATTGGACAGAGATAAAGAGAGAGAAGAGAAAGAAGAGCAGAGCATTATATACACAGCTCAGCTTAGTTTAGCTTAGCACAGAGCGTTGAATAGGTACCTATTACATACATTACTTATGGGATTACATTACATACACGGATTTTGGGGGGAAGGAACAAAGAATTATGGATTATTATATATCATATTTTGACTATTCATGAGTTGTGATTTTATTATTTTATTATTTGATATTGTGATGTGATGTGATGTGATGTGTTGTAGTGGTATTGTCGTGATTGCATTTTTGATCGCTTGCGTGATTTGGTTTGGTTTGGTTCGTTGTAATTCTGTACTTCGTGAAATCATGATACCTACCTGCTTCCTTCCTTTCCATCCTTTACCTTCTATCCCATCAACCATTGTCGGTCTCTTTCCCTTCATCCTATTACCTTTCCCTTCGATACCTTGACTTAGGTCTTTTCTCTCTCTCTTATCATAATCACATAAAATCTCCATCCCCATACCTCATAAATGGATTGGGTGGTCTTCCACCTCCACCTCTTTGAGGTCCATCACCCGGTCCCAAAGGATCATATCTTGCACCTGGCGGAGCTTGCGGGTTGAATACTCCTCTACCACCCCCTAATCTCTGTCCTTGTCCTGCAAATAGAGGATCATCAAATGTAGGATGCATACCTCCCATTCCACCTAATCCTCGAGCGCCTGCCCCACCTGTAAAAGAACCGGGGAAAGGATCGTTGGGTCCTAGACCTGCAGGATTTAAATCATCGTGACCAATATTGAAAGGGGAAATCGTTCCCCGAGGATCAAAGCGTCGAAGACGATTCAGATCCAATTCATCATCGAAACCAGGAGGAGGAAAATCTCCGGCGGGGATGGGACGACGTGGTGGGTCGGCAAGGGGATCATTATATGGATATGGACGAGCTGGTGCTGGAAGATGTGGATCGGTTGTGGGAGTTGGTACAGGATTTCGTCGAGCTTGTGTTTCTTCTCTTTCATCATGAACCCGGGATGCTTCACCTGCGCCCTCACTCGCACCTTGTTGAGAATCTTCGTATCCTTCTTTCTGTAAAGATGGAATGAGTCTTTGGATAATACTTATTTTGAAGAGGGAAGCGAGATCTGCGATTCTGGGAGGAGAGACAAAAATTTCTTTGAGCCTTGATTTGAGATTTGAACGATCTTCTTGGTCGTTTGTGAAAGGAATTCGTAAAGGGAGCGCAGACGTGGAAACGTAATCTCTGGCTGTAATCTCGAGACGGGTAATTTTCTCATCTCCGAGTCCTATTCCTCGGATTTCAGCCTTGCCACCTAGGCGATCGATTTTGACGACGTAGTTCATAGAGGATTGGGAGTGAGCGTAGAGGAATGAATGGGATCCAAAGGAAGAATTCCATTTCGAAGATAATCTGGGAGCAAGTTGTGCGCATTCGGTTTCTGGTAGGTTTGTTAACATTTGTACTTTGAATAAGGACTTAAACTGGAAGACCAACTATTCTCTTGACCTTCTGCAAATCCGATGAGTCGAAATCCAACTGCGATCATACATGCGTGAGAGAATAGGGCGATGGCTTCGTATGAGCTGCTGATATCGGAATCGGTATCATCTTTTTGATGAGTAGGTAAAGCTTCTGCCATATGATGCAGAATGGAATCTGGACTGAGTGGATTATTTGCCATTTTGGCGGATGAGGTTGAATTATTTGTCTGTGATTATTTTGATGAATGTCGATGTATTGATGTCTCTTGATATTTGACGATATGATGTGATATGATGTATTCACCTGGTGATTCAAAATTTGAAGTGAAGAGTGATCAAAAGTACAAATGAATTTAATTGTATGAGGAAACCAACGGAATGCGGGGGTGAATGGCGAAGTCAAGCTACTGCCTGAAGCTATCAACCCATGTTATGTTTAGTGACGTTTGGGTGGCGGCATACCCCGTCAAAGCCCGCTTTATACCATAGCGCAGTCTGCTCAGGGTCACCAAAATACCAAAAATACCCCTGCAATTATTTTGGTATCTCTAGCTAAATGGAACGAACTACTTCGTACATTGTACAGGGCCTAGAACGTGTAAAAACTTCAACGCGCCAGTAACATCTTCGTACAACTTTATTCCATGGCTTTCAATTGCATCAAATAATCTTCGTATCGTTATTCAATACATCTCTACACAGGATGGAATCAACTGAGTCTCTTTTCGAGGGACAGAAATTGGTGAAGTTACCAACGATTGTTCACGATGACCCCTTTGTCAAAGTGGTAAAGACTTTATCAATGTATTTACTCTGAAATTTGGCATGCTATGATATCCATCTAACGTATACTGCTCTACTAGATACTTTGTCGATGAGATTGTCCTTCCTTCAACCTTTGAACAATTGCGAACTACATCTGCGGGCAATAAAATTCGAATACTTGTTGAGCATCTCGTCGAGAATGTTACGAATCCCGCCATTATCAATGCAATCTTGTCAGTAGCACATCGTTATTCATCACGAATCCAGTAATAATTGAGATTATACAGAACCCTCAAGTGGCATTTTTCTACCCTCGATGTAGATGATGATCGCGGAATCAATGAAACCCGAGCGAGCGCATGTGAAATAGTGGCATGGAGATTTCTAAGTCGTGTATCGGAAAGAGATGCTGTCGATTTTTGCTTATACGAATTACCTTCACCTACTCTTCAACGATCAACAGATGGTACAGCAGAAGAGCCAGAGGAAAGTCAAGCTACGGAACATTCGACTTTATTGCCACAATTCAGAGAACGCGATTCTCCTCCTGGTACAAGACCACCTAGTCAGAATAAAAAGACTGAACTCTTACGGTCTATTTCACATATGGGGTCATTCTTTACTCATGATGATATGGATGATGATGAGGATGATCCAACATCTTCTTTCACAGGATTGAATGCTCTTGAAATTGGTGTAGTAGCTGATTGCAAAAAGTTTTTAAGCCAGAGAATTGTTCAAAAAATTATAACTGGTATTTGGAAAGGAGATATAACATTTTGGGAAAGTTTGAGTGAGCATACTCAAAAGAAAGCTCAATTTTATAATAGGAAGAAGTCCGATCCTTTTTCGAGATTGAGAGTACCAAGATATATCAAAGCTTTTGAAGTTTTGTTCTTTGCTTCTTTCTTATTTCTATACTATGCAGTTCTTGTTGAACGAAATCCGTAAGTCATTCTGTCTTTCTGTCTTTCTGTCTTTCTGTCCTTCTGTCCTTCTGTCTTTCTATCCTTCTGTCCTTCTATCCTTCCGTCCTATCTGCCCCTCAAATGTCTAACATATTTTCAGATATTACATTACGCCCCTTGAAATTGTTCTCTATGTATGGTTTGCTGCTTTTGCTTATGATGAGCTTGGAGAGTTCATAGATGCGGGCTCGATATTCTATGCAGTTGATATATGGAATTCTTGTGATTTGATGATTATCTTGATAGGAGCTGCTTTCCTACTCACTCGTTAGTACTCCTTGATTTAATACCTGAAAATTTCTAACGTTCCCTAGGTGTCATTGGTTTGACGAAGGATGATGGGATTATTATCGACATGGCTTTTGACATTCTGTCCCTAGAGGCATTGTTTTTATTTCCAAGGTGAGTCCGTGATATTTCATTCAGATACAGGACCAATCTTAGAAGTCGAGTGTCTTCCTGGCTTTTGTCAGACCCTCTTACGTGCCAGGTGAGGGCTCTAGTATACGTGATAGGAAAATGCCGGTATTTGGTTTAGCGCCTCGTTTATATTCTACGCTAAACCCAATCTCGGCTATTACTATCACGTGTGCCAGATTTCTAGATTGATACAGGACTAACATTACTTCAGAATATGTTCACTTCTTAGTCTCCATCCATATTTTGGAACTTTGATTCCTTGTCTAAAGGCGATGGCCACAGAATTCATTAAATTTATGGTTGTCGTCCTGGTTCTTTACCTCGGTTTCCTAACAACCTTTACCCTCCTGGCCCGCGATTCATTTACCTTGGGCGAAATGTCTTGGGTTCTTCTCAAAGTATTTTTCGGATCTTCATACCTTGGTTTTGATATAATGAACCAAATCTCACCCCAATTCGGTCCTCCGCTCATGGTTATTTTCGTTACTCTAACCCAGATTCTATTGATTACCTCCTTAATATCAATATTGTCTGACAGCTTTTCAAGAGTTATATCACATGCCAAAGAAGAATATCTCTTTGTATATTCTGTATACGTACTTGAATCCTCAACCTCCAATCGACTTACGCACTTTTACCCACCACTCAATCTCATCCCTCTCATTCTCATCCGACCACTTAGACTCTTCATGAGTTCTTCTACATTACGTAGAATTCGAATAGGGCTACTAAAAGCAACACATGCTCCAATTGTACTTGCAATTAAGATTTTCGAAGGTGTTAATGAACATATACAAGATCCATCATCTTTCCCCCGCACACCAATTGCTACAGTACCATCTACACCTCATAGCGGAGCTGGTGGAATGACAAGTATGAGTGGAGAACCAGCATATAAAGGAAAAGCGAAGAAGAAATTCTTGACAAGTAGGACGGGTACAAATCATTCATTGCATTTTATGGATGGACCGGGTATTGGAGATGGAGAGGCGAGTCCACTTGTTGGTGGAAAGTTGGAGGGAGGTATTAGGGGGAGAAATGAAGGATGTCCTTCTGATGTGGGTAATTGTGGACGTGCGAATGGAAAAGGGAATGGAATATTCTATAAGAAATTGACATTCGAGGGAGAAGATAGTGGATTGGGAGGAGAGGATGATGATACAGCACGAAGAATACAAAGGACAGAAGAAGAGAGGACAAGCGAGAGAGAAAGAAGATTAGAAAACAAAGTTGATGAATTGGGAAAGAGGATAGAGGAATTAACAAGATTGTTTATGGCGGATAAGGGATTGGGTGGGGATGATGAGATGTAGATAGATAGATAGATGAATACAGAGGTCAATATAGCGGTTGGTTCTGAGTAGGGTGGGGAGGGAGAGAGACTGACTAACTCTTTCCTTAGAATATCTATGGATAACAATATAAATGAATGTACATTAAGTGATGTTTTTCGTCAATGGAAATTTGAGTTTCTGGAATAACAGTTATACCCGCAAATAGGAAAATCTCGAGCGTAGCGAGCTACGGGGGTTTGGGGGCTGGCCCCCATTCAATAAGATGAAAAATATATATATTTTGCTCTTAGTATACTATTTGAACCAGTCATATATACTTAAGCATATACAACATCTTTACAAGAAGCACAAGCCCACATACCCGACCTATAACCAAGATGTCTCATATCACACCCGTTACATTTCAACAAACCTTTTCTAGACAACCAATTCTTCACAGCTAGAGCCCTTTCCGTCACATCCCTAATAGCTTCATCCCGATGAGTATTGCATAACCAAGATTTTCTCATCTGAGATGTACATGTACAGTATTCTTTCTTGAAAGCTGCACCCATTTTCACCCCTCTTGTTCGTGGTCTTTGTTCAGCCGCACACACGTCACAATAGTACAATTTGGTGTATTCAATAAGTGTCGATTGGGAATCTGACACTCGAACATTTTGATCTTTGTGACAAGATACACAAGTATGCCAATCACCTCCTTCAATACCATGTTGAAGATAATCGCAATGTTTTGCTGGAGATTTGAAACAAATATCGACTCCGATAAGTTCATCACAATGTTTATTTTTAAGAATTCCTTTCAAATCTTGTTTCCATTCTTGTCGATAATCGGATAGAGGACGAATTTGAAGTCTTGGATCGGGATCTGGTTTTTCTTGAACAACCACTTCGAATCCAGATCGATGTTCTTCGACTGAATTGAGAACATCATCTAAATCAAGCATTTCTACATCAGGACTTTCAACACTATATTGAGGTGAAATCCTAGGTGTACTGAAATCGATTCCTTCTCCATCAAATGTCATAGCAGCATAATGTGCCACATCCCCAAATGGTTCGGATAAAAATTCTGGTCCTCCTGGCGCAAGACTATTATATGATGCATCTGGTTCCGTGACTGTAGCGACACGATTATATGATGGACCATCTGGATCGGGTTTATATGGTTCCATAGGAGGAATCTCATTTTCTGCATTTTGTGAGAAAAAACTATTTTGATGTCCAGCTTCGAATGAATCCATGATGACTTGTGAACTGTAATTCATCATAGGTCCCAAATCCATATCTTTAATTGCTTGATCTGCTTCTTCGAAATTCGAAGCTAGTTTATCCCATTCAGTGTTAACATCATTATATCCTCTTTCCGGTACCGAAAGATCTAAATCCTCCTCCTCATCATCAGCACGTTGTAAAGTACCTCTTGCTCCTTGATAATCCCGTTCTCTGTATTTCGAAAAGTAAGAGACCGGATTACACATATCTACTGTCCCATTAAGTTTACACGTTCCACAAGGACGTTCTCCATCACAAGGACGAGATTGATCTTTACAAGGCGCACATTGAATACTAGGAGCATTTCCCACTTCGGGACTGGCACTTCGACGTCGACGGCTGGAAAAGGAACGTCTTCTTGATCTTTGATTAAATGCAGCTCTTTTCTTTCGGGAAAGACTAGCTTTCTGTTGAGCCGTAATTGGTTCTCCATCATCTTCATCTTCATCTTCATCTAGATCCATCGCTGAATCCGAAAATTCATCCGGATCACTCACTTTTTTGGGACCGGGTTTCTGTGGTTTCAATTTCCATGCCGGTTTGGGCGCATTGGGATCTTCCAAATCCCGAGTTATCTCGCACACTATCCCGCGTTGCTTACAGCGATCACAAGGTCGAGGTGATCCTGCTACTAATGTACATGGTTTTCTCATGTGTGTACAATATAGACAACGTTTGGCTGTTCGTGCGAGTCCTGATCGTTGAGCTGTATATTCTCCTGGAGCTCCACCTGCAGTTCCACCAGTAGTTCCACTTGCAGGTTTGCCAGTAGGACTAGCCCGAGGTAATTTACATTCTTCTCCACTACTTCTACAGCGATCACAAGGTCGAGCTGATCCTCCTACCAAAGAACACAATTGTCTCATGTGTTGACAACGTAAAACAGCGTTTGGGTTTAGGATCAGGAGCTGCAAGCGCACCAGTTCTATCTCTAGGAGGCATAGCTGGAAGATCCTCATCACTACTATCCTCTGGTAATTCCGGTGTTACAGGTCTTGGTTGATGATCTCTCTCGGCAATGCGTCTGGCAATTAATAAAGCCGTCTTTCTGCTCTTAGCGTTTTCCAATTGTCGACATGCCTTTTCAGCTCGATATTGCGTCGCATATTCTGGATCGAAATTTTTATGTGTATGATCCATTTTATTCTTATGAATCTCCTTATCTTTTTCCCATTGTATTTTAACTTTTCGACGAGCAGCCGTTCGAGCTTTAAGCTGTGCAGGAGTATCACCCGCTAGTTTCGCCGTCGTAGGAAATGAATATGGACGTCTCCTTAATTCTGAAGATTCGACCCCAATTGCTTTTCGAGACGTTAAAACTCGAGCTCGCCATGCAGTCATGGATTCCCAGGGTTGTTTGGGTCGTTCATCTATCGCTTCGATATTGGCGGCGATTTCAGTTAACCAGGGGGAATAAGTACCGGTTTCGAGTTGTTCGACGATGAAGGGATCAAAATCCCCATCTGGTCCGGGGGAATAGGCTCGTGTATCTTTCCAGGTTAGTGGGCCAGGTGGTCGTTTGAGTCCTTGCTGTTCCCATACCGTGCCTCCCGGTGGTAATGGAAGATACAGTTGTTGATATGTGGGACCTTTTGGGATTCTTGGGGCATGTATACCTTGTCCATAAGTTGCATTCTGTATATCGTTTTGAGGGTACTGCTGTTGTGGTTGATGGAATTGTTGATATCCTGCCTGGGGAAAATACGGCCCAGAAGCCATGAAAGCTCCCATCTGACCTCCATAGCTTGGATTCTGCGGCATGATCCTCTGAAGTCCTCTTTGCTCTTGCATCGTCGGTGGATTTCCACTCCTCCAATCTCTTGCTTCACTCTCAAAAACTTGACTCAATGGAACAGACGTTGGTTGAGGTCCTTGCCAATGTGTTTCCCTCTGCGGAATAACTGGTTGTTGTACCACGGGTGCCATCGCATCCATTCCCCCAATAAGATCCCATGGATCAATAGTTGCTTCCACAAGCTGATCCTGATCCGGCACATTAAGCCATGGAGATCGATATTCCCCTTCCATATGTTGGAATTGATTACTCGAACCACCAGTCAAGGGATCCCGTCCCGTTCTCCATGCAGCTAAATTATCTTGTTCCCATGGAGGTCTCCCACCGCGCCAACCTCCAGCGGGAGTAAACATGGGAGTCTCCGAGCGGAAATTATGTTCGGGTCGGCCCAAAACATTTTCGAGTCCGGGATTGAGAGGATGACCAGGGGGATGTGGATCGGGACCTGGTGGAACTACACCGTGACCACCTTGACCTCCACCTCGACCTCCACCCCCGACCGGTGCCTTGTCCTCGACCTTGACCATAGCCAGTCATATCTGATTGAAATTGACCGTAAAAAAAGGGATGATTAAAAATAAAGTGACAAGGGGATTATAATTAAAGCGCGAGTTATTGAACAGGATATGACAGATAGATAATCATACAATACGAGAAATTAATTTGAACAGTGACGTGAATCCTGAGCTTGAACGTGCGCTATTCCTTGAGCTTGAGCTTTCTTTGCACGACTGGAATCAAAATTCGAACATCTTGTTTGTGCGAATGATTGAGAGCGCGAGTTATACGATTAAATTTTCTTTGTGGATGGATAAAGAGGTGATGGAGGGGATTGTTTAGGGATGAGAATTTGAATATGTGATAAAGGTGGAGGAATTGGAGTTGAAGAGTTGTGAAGATTGAGGAGAGAATCCTTTGTGGAGGAGGTGAGGATTGGCTGTTTGCGGAGGGGGAATTGTTAAGCGAGGGGGATAAAGGAGTTTTTTAGATGATTGGGAGACGGACATTATGATTCATGTATATACATTCTAATGAGTTGAATCTCCAAATTAAATGAGAATTAGATGAATATTCCTATTTTTTTATTCCTACTTGTTCAAGAATAAATTCTAATGAGTATTTGAAGTGAGATCTTATTGAATACTAATTTATTTGTCGTTAAAGATACCAGCATTCGATAATTAAAACTAGTATTCGACAATTAATGAATCGAATAAAAAACAAAATAAAAAACCAAAAAGGAAGATAAAGGAAGATAAACTTAAGAATACTTCGAATCAATAAACAATATACAAATGAGGGCGAATAAAAGAAATTGTATTCCAAAATTGACTTTATGATGAACCGAGTACATTAGTCGAAACTCCAAATCGGCCCCTGGAAAATATATCACGCATACAAAGACTTACCACACCAGTACACAACAGAATACACACGAAATACGAATCAATTGATTAATTTCAATATCAGAGAAAAAATTGTATTCATACAAGCCGATAACTCTAAATAAATTCCATCATGTCATCATTAACTGACAGATCAAGTATACCTCAATCAAACCCCATAAACTCCCATCCTAGTCACTACCCTATATGACACGCTCAAATAGATCCCAGAAAAAAGAAGAGAAAGAAAAAGAAAAGGATCACGAGATCCTTATACGCTTGTAAATCTAATATTTTCAATCCCTACGACTCATTCGTCTCCCACCAAATGATAATGAAGTAGGACTAGTAGGCGTATTAGATCTTACTGTAGGTGGAAGATCCAATTTGACTTCCCCTACCCGTCTTAGAAGTCCTTGTAACGCCAATCTAATTTCCACTCCCATATCCCTAGAAAGTAAATCCACTGCTAATGGATAGAATACTTCAACATACTTCTCGAATCCTTCTCGTGGGAAATTCATGTAACCTTCCAACACATCTACAACAACTGGTCTCCAAGCAATGATATTTCTTTGTTGACTTTCTTCTTCAAGTTGAGTAAAACCACGGATGATATCGGCACAAAGAGGTACTAAAGCTTGTTCTGTATCTGCTCGGTTTCTTTTTCGCTCTTCACCTTCGTCATGGTACATTCTAAGAAGAATAGAAACATATGTAGCTGCACTACCGGATTCTTGCTTCAACAAGTTGGGTGGTTGTTTCATGAATCCTTCACGCCATAATCGCATGCGTAATTCTTTGTTCTCATTAAATCTTTTGGCGAATAAGAAAGATTTCTTGAGGAGAGCCATTAACCTAAGGAGTTCCGGACTAGGAATTTGAGCATAAACGGTATCGTTGGAAAAAAGCTCATTGACAGTTTCGATCATCAAAAGTTGTAAAACACATTTGGTAATAATTTTATTGAAAAAGCGTCGACGAGCTGCAGTGACAACCACAGGTTGTTGTTGTAGACCTGATTGTGGTTTGTAGTCCTCTAACTCTGGAGTTTGAGTTACAACAGGTGTCTGACCTTCTGGTTCAGCAATACTTTCTGCATCCGAGGTTGCACCACCATTTGTACCATTGATCTTTAGAGATTGACCATCATCAATATCTTCAACTGGTGCTGTGGAGCTCTCCATCGAACCTCCTGCTGCAGATGATGTTGCAGCAGTGAATAATTGGAATGCAGTCGTTCTATCGAATAACTCTACGAATGCTCCAACTATTTTGGACCAATGTTGAGGCTTGAATTTTGTGACATTTTGCAAAATTAATTGCTGTAAACAATTACTACCAATTCGAGCAATTGTATCATTCTCTTGACATATGCACAAAGCAAGTAAATCGAGGAATCTATCCAACATATATTCAAGTGATTCGAAATAATGAGTGAATAACGTGATCATGTTTCGAAGAGCTTGAATCATTGTAGTGGATAGCCACACAGATAATTCCTCATGATTGACAACATTGGACATCTCGGATTTGGATTTGAGAACCATAAAGATAGGATAGAGTAATTGTCTCCATAAGATGTCCCAGAAATCAGAAGGGAAGTCACCTCCATATTTGATCAGTGAATCAAAAAGGTAATTTAAAGCATTCGAACGGACTTCCAAATCTTCTCCCGTCATAAGAACATCATGAAAAGCGAACAAAACAGGAAACCAAAATGCTTCTTCCTGAGTTGTACGACTTATAGGATTTGTGGCGGTATCTGGAGTTTTTATCGAACCATCCGAATTCGCGTTCGATTTGTGAGACAGTGGACATTCCGGTGTTTTTAACATCTTGGGGATGATTGATTTCAATGCTTCCATGGCTTGTAACCCCTTCTTTTGGAATTTCATATTCTTCGAAAACTCAGTCAAGCAAACAATCAAGTCTGCGAATGCGCCTTGGGAGATGACAACACCAAATCGAGTTTTGTAAACTTGGTTGACATTTTCAAAGGCAAGATTGACGATACTCTCATATGGTTCTCGAGCTGCGACAGTGAATACTCCAAACATTGTTCTCCACCCAGAGCGAATATTCTCTCCACGAGCTTGGATCATTTGTATTAGACAACGCAAAGCCATATCCTTTACAGATACAACATTTGAGTTCGACATTACATGCTCGAAAGGTTTCAAGAAGTCTTTCTGGAATTTGAATCCAGGTAATTCTTCAATCTCCATAAATCGCATGGAAAGTTGACGCAAAGAATCCAAAGCAAAGAATACCACAGCGGTATTATTATGACACCCAACTCGATTAAAGTGCTCACCTAGAACAGCCCAAATATTGGCCCATTCAAATCTCACACGAAGCATATTGTAGTAACTGATCTCCACAAGCTTTTGAAGACTGTATGTCCTTGGAGATTCATTGGAACCCGATATCTTAATCTCATCCCAACTGACATCACACAAAGCCGTGACAAAGTGGACAATGGCTTCACCAGAAAGATTGGCGGTATTTGTGAATATCCTATCCACCCCCTTGATAACTTCATCGGATCTACTTTCCATTGCGATTTCTGTTGAATAAATAGTACTTTGCGTGTTTGTCCTTGGACGAGTTCTAGGTCGTTGAGAAGCGGTAGATTTTCTTGACGAAGTGGTATCTGATCGTGATGGAGCAACAATTCGAGCTTTTGAAACGTCTGGAATAGCCCCTTCATCAACTCCGTCAGATATTAATTGTAAGCGATCCAATTGACTGATGCACATGAGAATATCTCGCCATGATCCTTTCAAAAGATTTCCTTCTGTTTGTGCTATTTCAAGAATAACTTTCAATGCTTCCACATTCTTTGCCATCATATCCTTAGGATTATTGAGATTAGTGGAGTTCTTGAGAGCGGAAACGAAAGCTTCCCGTGGAGTTTCTAAATCGAAAAGACACGCAATACGAATTGCTAATTTCATCCCTTCGATGCATAATTTGATGATCTCAATATTGTGAGAGTTTTGCATTTGACCGGAAAGACCAGAGAAGAATGACATCCAAGTTACCTCAAACATTGGGCCGACATGCTTGAATGAAGTAGCAGGAATAAATTTATCCCCTGATTTCGATGCATTCTTTCGTTGATTTCGGAAAAGATTCTTGAATAATTGTTCAGATCTATGAGAGATCTCTTCAGATTGTTGTAAATATGCTTCGCGCTGTAAGTCGCGTCCAACTGTAGCCAGAGCTTGTCCAAGACCTGCCGCAATACCACCAGTAGATTGCGGAGGAGCATTGCCAGTGGCTGCAGCGGCTTCGCGTTCACTATTGAGCACAATTTCTTCCTTTTGAATTTCTTCGTAGATGCCGATAAGGTACTCATCAGGTAAACTTGCATTATCGTTAATACCACGATTATTCTTGATGAAATCTTCCTTGGTCATTCTCTTTGCAACTTTACTGCTGTGTTGATCTGTATTCAACATGATGACAGAGTAAGATAAAACGTAAGCAGTATCTGCATTAGCGAATGCATTTGGATTGCCAATGACATATCGATTTGCGAATTTCAACATGAAACGATCAATCTTTTGAGCTTCACCAGGAAGACGAAAGGATTGTAGAAATTGACGTAGAGCATCCACGAATCGACGTTTGGTGAAGTCCATTGCATCTACAAATGCGTGCATAATCGCAATGTTTCGTTCATCTCCTTCACCCAAAAACTCTCCGATTTGCGCCTTATCCAATCTATCCTCTCGTAGTAAAAATTGTGCAATACATTCTGGTGTATCTTCCGCTATGAATTTATCGGCGAGTAAAAGCTTGATGCCTTTCTTGGGTTTGAAGTTGAATTGCTTGATGGCATTTGTCATTGCGGTCTTTCTTTGCTTCTCCCTTTCCAATTGTTCCGGGTCATCATCCAAGACAGGCGTTGAAGGCATTGGTGTATTTTCACCAGTGATTCTTGTTGAACTATCGTTTCCAGGTTCCAAGGATTCCCTAACATCGGCGGACCCTCTGATATCGCTTTCTGGGCCACTAGTAACGTCAGCAATTCCTTGCTGTGACCAATTCACCAGTGATCTAAGTGTCTCCACGAGACAATCCATAGCTTGTCGCTTCACAATGTACTCTTTTGGAATTTCGGTCTCTCCATT